CACTACTGCCATGTACATAGAGATAGAAGGGGCAGTGGTAGCACCTGCCAGCCCTTCCTTGCATCACGGCACCCCTCCCTCCCCCCCCACACACAGGCCAGAGGCAGTTGGACATGGTGTGGACACATGCTGAATGAACTGGGCTGGCTCACCCTATGAGCAAACTACATCCTAGCAGTATCCCTGTGCTGTGAGCTGGCCTGTCAGCAGAGGAGCGAAGGGTGAGCTGAGGAGAGATAGGAGTTGCCAGGTCAGAGCAGGAAGGGGTAGGATGAATGGGGCAGGGGTTAAGCAGAGTTCAGCCCGAGGTGTTGGCTGCCTTTTGCCATTGTGCAGGCAGGAAGCGAAGAGAACTGCTTTCAGCTGCAGAGGGAAGGAAGAGGGGAAGGAATGAACAAAGACGCTGGCCAAGTCATCCCTTTTCTGCTCCTCCTCCTTGCAGCTGGAGGCAGCTCCTTTCCCAACCTGCATGCACAGGGCTGAAAGGTTGCAGTTGGCCACTAATAGGGTTGCCAGATGGTTGAAACAAAAATACCGACCCCCCCCCCCAAAAAAGACTCCAAGACTTATTAAGCAATAAAATAAAATAAAGCAGCACTAAAACAGCATGTCCCCTTTAAGAGTGAGTGCAGGGATAAGAACAAGGAGAGGTTGATCGCTAAGACCCAGGGGAAGCCCTTGGTCAGCAGCCATTTTGTGCCAGCATCCTTGCAGAAGAACCAGGTAAGCATGGGGGCTAGGGGTTGTTGGGAGCCAGTGAGGACTCGGAAGGAGGGAGACTAGGTGCTGAGTGTTTGTAGGGTTGCCAGGTGCCTGGCATTTTCTCCTCCTGACTGGGAAAAAATTCAGAAAATACCGGACATTTTAAGTGTCCCATATGCTCTGAATTTTTTTACCAGATAGGAGACAAAAATACCGGACTGTCTGGGTGAATACCAGACACCTGGCAACCCTAGCCACTAATAGAAATCTGGAGGTTATGTTTCTGTTGTTAAAAAGCGGAGGCAGGGACATCCTTCCTTGAAATGTGGCGGGGGGCATGACCCTCCTGGTCCACCCCCAGTTCCAGTGCTGCTGAAACACAGTCCCAGACGAATTATTACACTTATGGGCAGTTGAGGCTCTTTAGCAGATGAGTTGGCAGCTCATCTGGGAGAAGGACAACTCTGACTACAAATCCTCCATTCACATTAGTTGCCATGCTTGTAAGTGTCCATTGCACTAGCATGGCGTTAGCTGCTTGCGAGAGGAAATGACAAAGGCCATGTACAAATCTTTTTGTAGGCTCTAAAGACATGAGAGATGAGTGCATCAACTGCTCCTTGAGAGGAACCAAACTCTGGTCAGACTGTCATCTTGGGAGACGCATAATGTCACTACACTTCCCATCGAAGCACCTCAGCAGATGCCTCACACCCAGTGTTCCCTCTAAACTTCAGGGCAGCACAGCTTCATGGGTGATTAATCATCCCCACCCAGTGAGTTAGCTCCATGAACGGAGCCCTGAGCCTCTGACTGGGCGGGGCTGATTAATCACCTGGGAAGCTGTGTTGATGTGAGGGAACACTACTCACACCACCAAAGAAGATCTTTGCGAGTGATCTGAATGATCCCAGCAAAAAGGAAAGTTGCAACAGACACTAAAGACTGTGTTCCTGAGAACTTCCCAGCCCCGCCCTCGTGGAGATTGACACCAGGCATGTCCTGGCTGGAGTCGATGACGATGGGAGAGAGAGGTCACTGGCAGCGAGCCAAGATAGCATCCAGCTGCTCATAGCCACCCCTGAGTGGGAACTCTGCTCCCGGGCCTTGGTGTAGGCCTGCCAGAGCTCTTTAATTTTCATCCGGACCTGGTCCAGGGTCCTGGTGTGTCCTTTCTCCGCCAGGCTGGTGGCCTTGTGGCTGTAGATGTTGGCATTGCACCTCTTGGTGCTGGATGTTGGTCTCCCCCCCAGACATTAATGACATCCAGGATCTCTAAGCCAGTCCAGGCTGGAGCTCTCTTTCACTCCAGCCAGTGGCATCAGAGGGTGCTGCAGGCAGGCTGGCAGCCAAGGACGGCACAGAGGGAGCATTTGTGTTGCTCATGGCTCCACTCAAAGGTGCTGTGTGGCACAGGGGATAGCAGGGCTTTCCTGGTGCCACAAGCTCCTTCCCTTCTGCCTGCAGCTTAAAGTCTACAGAGAAGGGGAGCAGTAGAGTTGTCAGGTGGGTGGCCAGCGCAACAAGTGCAGCTGTGAGAACCCTCTGTAGGCCAATTATTTCAAAATAGTGTGGCCACTCGGCTGCTGCTAACACTATTTTGAAATAACAATTGCCTCATGACAAGCAGGCATTACTATTTCGAAATAACAAGCCTGTTATTTCAAAACAACGAACTTGGTAGTGTGGACGCTGCACTTGTTATTTCGAAATAAGGAGAGTTATTTCGAAATAACTCCCTAGTCTAGACCAGGGCGCAGTGAGCAGCCTGTAGGAGCTGGCATATGTTCACAACATTTTTGTCATGTGGTGCTATAAGAAACAACAAAAACTTTGTAAGTGATCATGGACTCTTGACAATGTGAAAACAGAACAAAAGGCTGAATCCTCCAAATAAACTATTCTTAACAGTTGGGCCAGCTCTTATTACAACAATGATTAATTCTTTATAGTTTTCAGCAATATACCATGAACTGCTTTAGTAGCAAAATAGATAATAATGTCTGTTGTACCCGCCATAAAAATCCCTAAGTCCTCACTGTAGTGCAGAAGACTCTAGCAGTTTGGTCTGTAATAATCAGCTTGGATTTCCTGGATATAATTGTTCTTAACTAGCTCACACACAGTAATGGGCTGCTAAATTGGAAATGAAGAACAAACAGCTTTTAAAAGGATCTGGGCAAGTTTCCTTTTACTGCCACATTACCATAATAGCCATTCATAACAAAAGCAATTAAGTATTCTCTATTTAATATCTCACTGTGTCATTCAGCAAAACCACTTTTCTCCTCTTTCATTACCAATTACACAAACACCACTGGTTATTCAGATTACCAGAAGAACTAGCACAAGTCTGTTGTTTATTTTTATAATTATAATTATTCATATCCAACTATTGTGCAAATTATGGATGTGGGACAAAATATAGAAAAGCTGCCTGGGTATTTTAAAATCCAGTCACTAAAAGCTATATCATTCTGGGTATGCAATTTGGGTGGGAATCAAAACTCAGCGGGATCCTTTGAGATTCTCTGATGACAGGCATTGCAGTTCAAATCGTTATAGCTTGCCTGAGTAGCACATACCTAGCTGAACAGAGCAGGGTCCTTTCAAAAGACTGCAGTGTCAGCTCTTGAGGAGCGTGTTTCAGGAGCACACGTAGCAAGTGGTGGCGGACCACATGCAGAAAGAAATGGTGACACCCACATTCCAAGCAGGGCTTTCTGCCAGATCACTGGTTCCAAAACTTTTTTATACCGCAGACCGGCAAACCACTCACAAGCATTTGGTGGACCAGTAACATTTTATTTGCAAAGTTGCATATTCATTAGGCGAATGATGAATATGCAAATAAAATGTTACTGGTCCACCCTCAGAGCTGCCATGAACAGCCAGCTTCAGTTCCACCAGCCCTCCACCCCTTAAGGCTTAGAGCCCCCCCCCACCAGACTCCTCCAATGCCAGCCTCCTATTTCCCGACCCCCACTGCACCCATCCCCCCTAAGGCTCACTGTGCCGGCCCCCAGCCCCCAATATTAGCCCTACCCCATAGTCCCCCAGTGCCAGCCTTGCCCCCATAGCCCCACCACTACTAGCCCTGCCTCTAGAGCCCCCCCAGACACTAGTGTCCCCTCTAAGCTGCAGGGCAGAACAGCGTCACAGGTGATTAATCAGCTCTGCCCAATCAGAGGCTCAGGGCTCTATGCACACCTATGAAGCTGTGCTACCCCGCTGCTCTGATGCCCCAGAGCTCCCCAGTCTCAGCCCCCCACCTCTTAAAGTCCCCTCCCCTTAAGAGAACCCACAATTCAGCAGCCTGAGGGATGGGCAGAGAGAGCTGGGAGAGGGGAAGGGGGAAGAGGCTGCTTGGAGTAACCACACTGGGCCCCTCTAGGGACAATCAGCAGCCTTTGAAGCAGCCTTCTAGATCCAAGCCCTGCAGGTTCTTAGTCCCACGCTCTAGGTGCAACACAACAGCTCATGGACTGGACAAAGGGTCCTCCACAGCAGCCTGGCTCCTCTCTCCCAAAATGCCTGGACAAGCCCCCATTTCCTCCTTTTTCCCCAAGGGCTCATGGGAGTTGTAGTCTCTAGGACTAGACTGCAGCACAAAGGATCCTCCCAGAAAAAGTCAGAGGCCCCTTTAATAAGGGGACTACACATACAAGGTTTAAAAGGAAAATAAAACATGGAAACTCAAAAAGAGCATTCGGAGCCAGGCAATGTTTTATTTCCTCTTATTTAATGATCATTTAAAAGTGAACAAACTACATTTGTTTTCTTTTAAACTTGAAAAAAATTAAAAAATAGCCCTCATCTAAAACTTAGTAGTAACCGTGGGTGAATTTTTATGGATGATTTATATATCATTCTTGAAAAAAAGGGCTTTATAATGAAAGTGATAGCTCAGACTTAACTGCAGCACTGGGAACAGCGACACTATAATTAATGTATTATTTCACATGTGGGAGACACTGACAGTTGCTTTTTGCTCTGAGGAAGAAATTTATAGCATGACTGAGGAAGAAGTCATGGAAAAGAATTACACTAAGGGGAACAGAAATCTGTGGCAAAGACATACCTTCACAATCTCCCTCTCAAACCTTATAAAACTCTGGCATTGACAGTATTACCCCCTTGTGTTATTTATAGCTTTCCTTCTATTCGATAGGAGTGACATACGCTAGGAGAATATATTTTATGGCAGAGAGGGCTTTTTTTTTTATAATGATGAATGAAGTTAAAGAATCAAAGGGAAAAAACTGATTGTTTGTTGTTGATGACATAAATGTGCTTACCGGTTCAACGTCAAATGCGTAAAGGGCATACTCCCGATCAGGTGACACTTCATAGCGAATGGCCTTTAAGAAGACCTAAAAAAAATCAGATATGAAAATACACATGTGATTTTGTAATATAATATATCAAACTATTTTCATGCTCATCACAGAGGAAGGGAGGGAGGGAAGTATAGTCCGATGTCATTATTTTTTAGATGACACTTGTAAATAATACTCTGTTTTGATAAAAAAAAGGTGAACAGATCATATGCATTTGTTCATGTCTCCTAACACCTCCACACCCTAAGGAGATTCAGCATGATTTCTCACTCACTTGTTTTTTTCTTCCCCGTTCATTTCCTTCCATCTATAGTGTCACATACATTAGTCCCATGCAAAAAGTTGATGGGGTGGGAACTAGAGGCAGCTGCATATCAGGATGGGGACAGAAAGCAGACCATAATAAAATATAGGAAAGGGCTCTATCCCTCTCATCCCCATGGTGGCTGGGCCTGTGTTGCTATCTTCTACTTAGTTTGCAAGCTCCTGAGGCAGGAAGCCCTGCCATCTTGTATATCTGCAACATGCCCAACACTCTCTTGATGTTATATACAAGCTACATTGTGACTTGGGCTATGTGCCTGCCGAAGGGATAAGAACATCCCCTCCCTTTGCATGCCTATGCAAGCTATCTCTGGCCTGACAGCAGAGGAGTTTACTTTGTTTACTTCCTCCCTGTAGTTGAAGGGTAGGAAGCGAATAAGAAGCAGTGAGACATTAGAGGAGCCTTGTTTCCACCCAATTCTCTGCAGTCATTAGCTGATATCCTTGATCCACTGAATAGAAGTAGAGGAATATTAAATCACTATTTGTACAAGCCATTCATAAAACACTACAGATTCCCCTAGAGAAAGAAAGGAGGAACCAGAGTAGGGCTTGTTCCTCACAGGGATCTCTGAATCACCATGTCTCCCAAGATTAGTGCTGGGGTGATGTAGTTTATGTGCCAGCCTTTCCTGAGGGTCATACCTAAAATTAGCTCTAGCATTACCATTCATGCACAGTAGCTCCTGATACTTGTCTGGTGATGTTTTTTTCCCTCCTCTGCTTCTAATTTGCCTAGTGCAGATATTCCTATCTCTTTCCTACATGGTTTTAATATGCAGGGCCATCTCCTACATTTCCAAGGCCAAAGATAGATCACTCTAATATGCCTTCCCCCCTTTTGCTTTTAAATCCTTTTCTTCCACCTAACAAACCAGACGGAATTTGAGAAATTACCGATAATCACAATGTAGTAGAATCTTGGGCATAGTGCAAGTGGATGGTATCATGCAGAAAAGCCCTTCACAAGGTCAGCAAGTGGGTTTGAGTGGCATGAGTGCATTAACAATCAGATGATCTAACCAAAGGCAAGAATGCCCATAGGAGTGTGCCAACCAGCACTGTCGGCATGAAGACAGATTTTGTTTGCTGATATATTAAAAAGGTGAAGGAAGAAATCTGCGCCAAGACAGTGAAAGTTGTTTTGACACAAGATGAGGATGAAAAAAGGGGGTAGATAGGTTAGAAGGAATAAGTAAATGTAAATAAGATGGATAATATAATCCATGGCAAACCAGGCAGACTAAAAGCATAGGCAGATACAGTTTAAGGTAGTAGGACAAGGGAAAAACAACCAAAAATCAGATGATCTTTCAGTAGCTATATGATAAAACATAACATGGGAAAAGGCTTCTCCACAAAGAACAGTTCTAAACCCTCCAGTACCGGGAGCAAAGAATGGTAAAGAGAAAGTGAATGCAGCTCTGCAGTGTTTAGAGACAGAGGCCTAACATAATACGGAGGAAGGTCTTCTAGTGCTGAACAAAGGAGGCCACATTCAGATTATTGTGTGAGGTCCCGCATATCTTACCATTAAGAGTTATTGTAAGTCATAGTATTATTGTACTATCTGAATATGGTAAAGCAGTGGTTCTCATACGAGGTCTATGGACTGCCACCAGTTGGCCAGGAAAACTCTCACTTGTATATCGAATACTGAGGGCAGTTCTGGCAGGCAAGGAGTAAAGGAAGCTGACGGGACCATTTGCTCCCATTGGCCTCCTGCAATGGGTAAAGTGCCAAGCTTGGCTTAATATAAGCCGACTCCAGCTACATATTCTACGTAGCTGGAGTTGCGTACCTTAAGCCAACCTTCCATGTCTAGTGTAGACCTGGCCTCAAACGCTATCTGAAGCTATAATAAATAAAACTAGCATGAATTTGGCTAAGAAAAGTCAGACATTAAAGGTGAAGCGTAGCCCAAGGTCCAGTGTGCTTCAACAGCAGCCCTGGGAACTACCAGTTGTGGACTACAAACTGCAGCATGTTCAGAGAACTTCCTGCTTCCTGCCAGGATGTGTCCTCTGCCCCCAGCAGGGTCCCAGCAGAGACTGAGCTAGAAGCAGCTCACAGACTGCATGCTGAGAGGAGGGGCTGGTGAACTGTGATCCTGTTCTGGTTTTTTATGGAATAAAGCCTGTTCCTGGTGGTTTGTCTGAGTGGGTCTGGTCTGAGGTGCACACACACACATAATACACAACACAGAGCACACCAAGGATCCTCAGGCCTAGCCTCCCACTGTTGTGTAAGAAGTCACAAAATAGTTTCCACTATGCCGAATAACCTCACACTGGGCTAGTGAACAGGAGGGGTTACAAAGGAATCTAGTCAATTCCTCTACACAGAACACAGCTGATGGTTTCTGCGGGAAAAAACACATTGATCAGTTATGGAACAATTATGATATGCTGTTGTCAGAAAGTATTCAACAGAGATAGCCTGCTGGTCTAGTTCCGGCATGTGGCACTCCCATGCAAAGAATGGATGAAAACCAGCCTCAGATTGTTGAATGGCTGATGCTGATAGCTCTGGAGAAACTTCCATTCCACTGTCATTGTCAGGGACAGAGGCACCTCAGCATGTGTCCTTTGAGGCTGGTGGGAAATGAAAAGGAAGGATGCGGGTGGGGAGGGAGCCCATGGAGCTTTCCTGGGAAAAATCATGAAATATATGCTGTATTGTAGGGCTGTACTGTACTAAAGAAAGAAAGAGCTGGATGACTATGGGCTTTCTTGTGAGCTGAAACTTGAAAACCAGGATGAGACCTTTATTCCACAGGTCTAAAATACACATCAGAACCCCAGTGGCATGTGCTTGCAGGCTGATGTGGCTAATTTTTCATTCCCTTTTTAGCTCCCTCCCTGACATGAATTTCTGTGGTTCAACTGCAAGTGAGTGTCTCACTTTGTAAAGGTGCCAGGGAATAAGTCACTGATGTAAATAGGTATGCCTGTGGACAAAGTACTTGCAAGGGGCTTACATTATGGTAAAACAGTACAGCCTTGGAGGTGAAGCAAGGTGTGAAGGTAAAATGAAAACACGTGGCCTTTAAAACTGGATATAGCACAATGATATAAAAGGCTTGAAGGAGGCACGTCAGGATTGCTTTTAGGCCAATCTTTTAGGAATATTTAAAACACTGACATGGTGCTAGAACTGAGTATGAGCAAAATTAGATTTTTACAGCATGAAGTCAGTATGGCATATAGATTTAATATTTTTTTGAAGCCAAACAGGTTTTGGTACAAATCTTTCTTGTGTTTTTCCCCTTTTTGTTTTGTTTTGGATTTTTTGGTGGCAAATTCAGTACACAATTCCCAGAGTTCTTTTTACAGTTGTTAGGCAATTATGTTAAACCTGCCTTCAGTTTGTTCTGCTTTTGTGACAAGGCATATTTCTGGGAAGGAGAAGGAGAGGAATCTTTTGCCGTTCCCAAACGTGGAGGCACAAAAGTTTGATGCCATAGGGCAGTGGATTCTTTGAAAGTTCTCTGCACCATTCCAGCCCTGCAGAGCAGGCAGAGAAGTGGCTCTTCCAGCCATGTATGATTCACCTGGATGTGGAAAGGCAATTATTGACTGGCAAAATAGCCTCTTGAAGGATGTTTCCAGGCAGACTAACTTAGGGCAAAATGGCTTAGCATTGGGAGGATGGTGTGTATGGGCAGGCAAAGGGGGCAAATGCCCAGGGGCCCACGTGATTTAAAGGGGGTCAGAGGGCCTGGGCACTGCTGTGATAGTGGCTGTCAGGAACTGCGCCAGGCCCTTTTAAATCATGCCCGTATGGGCAATGGGTGGAGCCCCTCTTGGGGGAAGCTAGTCCCCAGCTCCACTTCTGCCACCTGCCTCCCTCCATGGCTGGAACTGCAAGACACCCCCTGCACTCCTCCCTCAGATGGAGTCATGAGTCCCTCAGCTTGGATAAGGCCCAAGTGCCCACTCCCCAGCCACAGGAGCCCGGGGCCAGCTGCAGCCACTCCTCCCACCCCTTCCTCTGACCCATCGTGCTCTGGGGGAAAGCATCTCCTCAAAGACATTTTTGATATGCTCTGTGTAGGTTTCTGGGTGGCTGAGTAGCAAATCGTGATGGTGGCTTTTGAAATGTGGGTAATTTTTTATCTTGTCTTTAAAAGCAGAACTGTTCCTAAATAAATCATGGAAGCTTCCCATGAGCCATGTGTGGGTCTTCACTGGTGTTTACGGTAGCAAGATGGTGAGGTGTAGCAGTGTGATAGCCTACAAGTTGTCTTGGCTTTCATACTGCCTCTCCCTGCTGCATTGCTTCAGCATGAGGTCTTGGTAGTCCACAGGCTAGAAACAGAAGGAAAACTGGTTTACACAGATCTGGATTGTGCAAGGTTGGAAATATTCTATGAAAGATGCCTGTATTCATGAGATTCTTTTTAAACATAATGTATATTTGGTATTCCATTTGGAGCTGATTAATTAATTTTTAAAAAGTATAAGACAGCTTCTTGCAGCAGGACTTTGCTCTGAACTTCTGTCTCCTCTTTTTCAGATTTTACATTCAATCAGTTTTAGAATTATTGTCTTGTTTGGAATGCAAACAACATTGTTTGTTCACCTCCTCCAACCCCACTCTTCTGGATATCTGGACTCATTCCAAGGAAATGTATGTTGAAGATGGTTTCTGATTGGTTGCTGTTTCAAATGGTTAACTTTCTGTGACACATAACTGATTAGTCTGCACACATAAGAAACCCTAAAACAATCTAAAGCAATCTAAAAATAAATCTAGGGAGGTTGTGGAATCCCTGTCATTGGAGATTTTTAAGAGCAGATTAGACACACCTGTCAGGGACGGTCTAGATCAGTGGTTCCTAAACTTTTCGGCATCACGCCCCCTTTTTGATTTTTGAGAAACTCTCATGCCCCCCCAAAAAAATTTTGCAGCAAAACTTGTTGAGAAAAAGAAAAAGGTTGACCTTTTAAGAGCAGAGCAGGTGGCCATTTTGAAGTCTGCCCGGGACACTCCATCCATCCCCTGCCCCAGCTATCCTGGGGGGAGGAGGGGAAGCGGCGAGGGGAGGGATTGGATCACCTTGTACCCCCCCTGGAATTTCTTCACACACACACACACACACACACACACACACAGTTTGGGAACCTATGGTCTTGATGCTTGGTCCTGACAGGAGTGCAGGGAATTTGATGACTTCTAGAGGTTCTTTCCAGTTCTGATTCTATGAAATCCTGTGAATTGGGTCTGTGGAAAGGAGGGGAGGCATGGCTACCACTGGTGTGCAGTTCCCCCAGACAGGTGGGAGAGACCACTGCCACTGGCTCAGGAGTCCTCTGGGCAGTGGGAGGAAGAGCAGACAAACTCTCTGAAATATATGGTAGATAGCTGTCCCTTCCTCTGCCCTTTCTTTATTTAAATCCCCGCTTCATTGACTATGTCAGGTAAACTACTTTAAATGGCTCCGTCAACGGAGCCATGTAGTCTACACACACCCTTGTACTCAGAGAGATGCACGGAAACACACAGACAGATGCACAAACTCTGTCAAATATATAGAAGATAACTACAGTGGTTTGTACAGTAACTGTGTAAAAACCTTCTGGTTGGCAATATATGAAGTGGAAAATTAAATTCCGTTTTCTACTTTATTGACCTGAATGCAAGAAAGCTGTTAAATTATCCTGCTCATACTTACAATTTTTTTGTTTTCTATTAATACTGTTGTGTTGTTTGTTTCAACATTCCACAGGATCACAGTTCCATTCTGATTTCTATAAATAAATTCTTTATCTGCAGGAAAAAGAAAAAGAACATTTAGAAATTGGACAGATTTTAGCCAGAGAAGTTGTTTATTTATGTAGAACTAATTATGGCTTTATGCCAAAAAGAACTGCTGTCTTTATTCTATTTTGTGGTCTTATATCACACTCATTCTAATCTGTTCTGCTTAGGTTCTAAAAACCTGCTCATGACTGTTGTCTGAACCCCTTCAATAAGTACATTAAGCAACATGATTAACATCTGTGATGTTTCTGTTTTCTCAGCCTTTTTCGAGGGGGAGAAATGTGTGCAGGGGAGAGTTTTCATTCAGATTTTTAAATTATATGCCCATACACACGTAGAGCAAGAGGAAGAGCGCTATTTGTTTATCTAGCAGAAAGCCAAGTCAAAGAAATGACAGGGATGTGGTGAGGTTAATGAGGATTCTTCAGACGACAGGTTGGCTTGATCAGTATTTTTATGGGAGAACACCAAGGGAAAATCATGGTGCTGCATGAAGGAGTGTGTAAAGGTGGTTCTCTTTTTTGCAGTCAGTAATGTACTTGTTTTCCAGTATAGCATGCTGCTGGAGACAGGGCCTTTCAAATAAAACCTAATATTGAGGTCCTGACCACTTTGTAATGAAATGACCCCATCACACTTTTCAGACATGGGTGAATTAATAGCTAAGGCTGTTAAATCCTAGCTGCCTAAATTCCCCCTTCCCATTTCAGTTAGTGAAGTAACTCTTCATTTCCTGTTTTAAAATGCCATAAACCTGCCCCTACAGGTGAAAAGTTCATGGGGATAGCAGTTGCCGGGGAAGTCCCACTTGAAGGGGGAGAATACAAAAGCCACCTATTCTATGCACCTCTGTTCTGGATAGAAGCTGTTGTTTATGTGTATGCCATTATTAGTACATGTAATAATGCTTAGCAGATTTATATATCTACCTGCAACACATCACCAGCATTTGAATAAACTACCAATACAATTTAATTGGCATAATGTACACGATATGAGGTCTTATGATTCATTCAAAAGCAAGAAAGCTGAAAAGTTTAATCTCTTAACAGTGCACGTATCCACAGCTACCTACAAAACTGACATGTCCCGCAAGCATTTTGCTCATCAGTACCACCAAAATAAAGAATTTTAAAAGTGCAAGATTCACAATGATGAACTAGGGCTGTGACATCTTACTTAGGGTATGTCTACACTACCACCCTAGTTCGAACTAGGGTGGTTAATGTAGTCATACGAACTTGCAAATGAAGCCCTGGATTTGAATTTCCCGGGCTTCATTTGCATGTTGCCGGGCGCCACCATTTTTAAATGTCCGCTAGTGCGGACTCCGTGCCCGCGGCTACACGTGGCACGAACTAGATAGTTCGGACTAGGCTTCCTATTCCATTTCACGATGCATACAGATATTTCGGAATAGGAAGCCTAGTCCGAACTATCTAGTTCGTGCCACGTGTAGCCGCGGGCACGGAGTCCGCACTAGCGGACATTTAAAAATGGTGGCGCCCGGCAACATGCAAATGAAGCCCGGGAAATTCAAATCCAGGGCTTCATTTGCAAGTTCGTATGACTACATTAACCATCCTAGTTCGAACTAGGGTGGTAGTGTAGACATACCCTCATAGGCTTCTATGTTTTGTTCACATTGCCTTACTTTATTCATTTTGCATTGTCAAGAGTAATGTGTACGAATCTTGGTAATACATGCTTGATATGCATTTTTCTTGTTTTGGCTGAAAAAAGGGTGGACAAAGAGTCTAACAATGATAGTTTCCCATGTTGGTAATAGGGATATAAAATCCTTTAATTGGTTAACTGATTAAGTGTGATCCCGCTCCTCACCCACTCCACACAGTCAACTCCTGCTCCCAGCTCCCCTGCATGCGGGAGCCTGTGGGGCTGGAGTAGCCCTCTGCCCATGATGGGCCGCAGGCAGAGGGCTGATCCCACGTACTGGTTAACCAGTTACCTGTTCACATCCCTAGTTGGTAAATGCCTATGTAATGGGCACATGCAGTTCAAACAGTTCCCCTTAAATGAATGGGATTCCTTCCACTGCCTTCACTGGAACTTGGACTTGTCCTTTAGATACCAAGTGACAGGTGATATAGAAGAACCTGGGAAAGACAGATGTGCCAAAGTCTGGAATTAATGGTTATATGCACCCAAGGCCTGAGCTTCTTCTAAGGGATACAACTGATGATAAATGAAAAGATTTGGTATCTGATCACGCAGAGATTAGCAATAAGCAAAATGCGAGATCTTAGAATGATATATTATATTCAGCACACAACAGGCCTACTGTAAGCATGGTAAGATACAATATTCAAACTATTAGGATATTTTCTAATTAAGTGAACTGAATTAAAGCTTGATCCCCACCTGGAAGCTTGACTCAGAGGCTTCATCTGCTCTGCAGGTTCCTTGTGCAAGAACTTTTTGCGGAAGAGATCGTCTGCAAAAAGTTCTTGTGCAAGAGCGCGTCCACATTTCCATGTGCTTTTGCGCAAGAGAGTCCACATGGCCATGGACGCTCTTGCACAAGAAAGTTTTGATGGTCATTCACAGAATGGCCATCAGAGCACCTGTGCTTTTTCTGATAGGGGCTTCTTGCACAAGAAACCCCTGTTGTCCATCCACACATGCCTTTTTGCGCAAGAGCTCTTGGGCAAAAAGGCTTATTCCTTGTAGAAAGAGGAATAACTCTTGTGCAAAAAAAAAAACCTGTCTTCTGACGATCTACTGTATTTTTTCTTACACAAAAAAATGCGCTTGTGTGGATGCTCCGCAAGTTTTTGTGCAAAAATGGCTGGTTTTGCGCAAAAACTCTGCAGTGTAGACGTGGCCTGAGGCAGCAACTGTAAGGTCAGAAGGGATCATCATGGCCATCTAGTCTGACCACCTGCATATTGCAGGCCACACACCCTCACCCCCCACTCCTGTAATAGACCCATAACCTGCAGCTGAGTTACTGACATCCTTAACTCCAAGTTAAAGAACATTCACTATTTATATTGGTTTAAACCTGCAAGTGGCCCGTTCCTTGTCCTGCAGAGCAAGGCAAAAACCCCACCGAGTCTCTGCCAATCTGAGCAGGAGAAAATACCTTCCTGACCACAAATAGGATGACTGGTTAGACCGTGACCATGTGAGCAAGACCCAATAGCCAGACACCTAGGAAGGATTATCTGAAATAACTCAGAGACCTCCCCATCTAGGGCTTCATCATCAGTCACTGGAGCTACTTGCTGCTAGCAGTCGCAGATCAGCTACCTGCTGCTGTGGACAGTCTCAGCATACCAGTCACTCCATAAACTTATCAAGCTCAGTTTTGAAGCCATTTAGGTGTTTTGCCTCCACTACTCCACTTGTAAGGTTGCTCCAGAACTTCAATCCTCTTGAACAGATAAGTGACATTTATTATTAATCAAGTGGACCTGCAGGCTTATTAATAATTAGTAATTAATTCTCAGACCATAACACAAACCGACAAGATTTATATTGCTCCTCCTAATGAAATTCCTACTAAATTTTTATTACTTCTTATTTCCCTGGTTACACTTATCCTAATGAAAAAACAAAATGCTTTAAAATGAACTGTAAATCTTTAAGGTGACTATGTAAATCCTATTCCATAGCTGGAAGTAAATAACAAAAAACTTTTTTTCCTTTAAAGTTTAACCAGCTTAAAATCTTCTGTTAATCTCTGGTATGTATTTCTAGCACTACTAAAACACGTTTTAATAAGAGATAATGAGTATTCATATGTCAAAGCTCTATATCTTGCTATCATATTTAATACAGGCCATGGATAAAGGGTCCCATTTAATGAACTGAAAATTGGTTTGCTTAAACGTAGAACAAATTGATCCACATTGTATTCCAGGCAAAACACAATAAGGTTTTGCTAGTCTTCTAGTCATGTTATCTTAGTCATCAAATGAATCAATGAATAATATTCCAAGGCTGTTTTGGAATGTGTGATTTGTTCCGGTAAAAGAGTATTCATTTTAATGGGACGTATCTCAATCAAAGACAAAAGCAGCACAGCAATCTTTGTCTCTAATGAATTCTGTCCAGTGAGCTGATGAGAAGTTGCAGTCTGATTAATAGCCATCACTACAGTTGATAAAGGTCATCACTGAATCTCATTGTTTATATCGGCCTTTCAGTGCGGCTGCTATTCATTGTAAATGTTGCTGAAAATTGTAATTTTAGGCATAAAATTGTTTATTCCATTATACAGTGGATTTCTTGAATAGCTGTTAGAACATAAGCATAGCCATTTTGGGTCAGGTCAATAATCCATCTAGTTCAGCATCCTCTCTTTCAACAGTAGTGTGTGCCAGATGCTTCAGAGGTAATGGACAGAACAGGATAATGTCAAGTGATCCATTGCCAGTCTCAACTTCTGGAAGTTTAGGTCACTTTGATTATTCCTTCCCTACTTCCAACTTCCAGGAATTTTTCTATTTTTTTTCATTTTTCTGTTATTGATGATGACAAAACTACCAGAAATAACTTTACGGCTTGCCTCTACACAGTACAGGTGTGAAACATAACAGTATTGGAGCATAGTAAAAAATAAAAATGACACACAGCCTAGGCAATGGAACACAATTCTGCATTAGTGAGTGTGCTGGGAAGCAGGAGTTAGGCTGCACAGGAAAATGTTTTAGCAGCACACTGAGTATCCTTCTGATGTCCCTGTCTCTTCAAACATGGCCATCCTCTGCCCATGCCTTGCCTCTTTTAGTCACCCTATATCAGGGATGGGCAATAAGTAGTCCATGGGCAAGATGCAGTTCGCTGGGCTTAGCCCCTACGGTAAGCACCCCCGGTTAGCCATGGTTCACCGTTCCCGCCCAATGGGAACATCTGGAAGTGATGTCCCAGGCCACGCCACTTCCCGCAGCTCTCATTGGCCAGGAATGGCGACCCATGACCAGCAGGAGGTGCAAGTGGCTCTATCTGCAGATGCTCATATAAATAAAGTGTGGGCAGCC